TCACGTGGCTCCTCATAACAGGTAAGCTCACTTGGCTCCTCATAACAGGTAAGCTAAACAATGGGATCTGTAAAAAAATAAACTTTATAAACTTTATTTATTTTAAAACAGTTATGAAACAATTATGATACAAGTTATTCAACTTATATTAATAACTCTTGTTGGCCCGGATGTTTGCGCGCGGAGGAAACCGAGGTACCTTGAGAAAACCCACATAGTCTGGTAGGTGATCATGCCCCCATATCTTTTCACACCAGTTATATTAATTATCCAATATACTAAATTCGGCTACGGGCCAAATATCACCGCCCTTGGCCTTTCGCTTATTTACAAGAAAATTAACATTTGACCCCAGTGATTTTAGAAGTGGGACAAGTTAATTCATTTGCAAAAAATATGTTGTCATTAATTCCAACATTCTTTTGGCCATAAATATGATCAACCTTGGACTTCAGATTATTGAGAAGTTGTTCGAAGATTTGTTTTTAACATTTTACCCTTGTATATTGAAACAAACATTGTATCCCTATATCCAAGCATTCTATTGGACAGATATGATCACCTTGGGACTTGAGATTATTGAGAAGTTGTTAAAATATTAACTCATTTGATCCATATGACCTTTAAAGAGACTTTTAAAAAAAAAAAAATGGTAGCCCTTCCCCCCAGCATGCTATTAGCCAAATATCTACCCCATTTGCCTGTAATTTAAGAATGTCTTTTTCTATAGATCAACACATTCGACTTTTATGACCTTGAAAGTGGGTCAAGGTCATTCATGTGAACAAACTTACCAACCCGGCATCCCAGCATGATACTGGCCAAACATCTTCGCCCCGGGCCTTTGGTTATTTATTAAGCTCCCTTGCAAACAAATGAGTTTAAAATTATAATCAAGGGTCTAGTCTTTTGAGTGGGCAGACTTCAGAGGCATCCTGGTGGTATACCTAGTCTCTTTCCACGTAACCTTTTTAGGCCAATCTCTCAGGGCGAGAGTCAGCCTTTTAATTGGTATAATTTTGAATCCCCACCACGTGGGACAGTTTCCAAAATAAATATGGCTGATATTATCCTCATCATTCCTGGGGAGTCACTTACATTACTTGCCTCTATGTCCATATCATAAAATACAGCAATTTTAATTCACAAATCACTCCCTTGTTAGATTTGTAGCTAGCTAGGTGATTAAATTTCAGTTCAAGATGTTTCCAATGATTGTCCAAACTGATTTCAAAGTCTTTATTTGTTGTAGCCTGTATGACCGCCTCCGGAAGACTGTTCCATATATCAACAGGTCAAAGTTGAAAACTTGATGTACTGCAGTAAGGCCAAATTTAAAGACGTATATACTGGCTGTATATGTCTCTGGTCCGTAAGAATGCTTCCAACCAAATATGGTTTATATGCATCAAGTTCAAGAGATAAAGTTGCATAAACAGTGAATAAAAAACGATTTCTAGGAAAACGGGTCACAAATTTTATTATATATTCATTGCCAAAGTTGAAATAATTTTCAAACATTTTATTTATTAAACTTAAAAATACTACAGGTACAATTTTCTATCTGTTCTTTATTTTGAATAAAAAATACCTTATTAAATTTACAATTAAATGTAAACATTATTTCAAACAAAAATTGTAAGTACAACATAACTTACAACCACCGACTGGGACATGGCACAACACAATCAGGCATTAATCCCATCAACCTCTATTTCACTTAGGACAGTAAGGCTGCTTTACCGTATCCCTGTTCAAACATTTCAGGTGCCAATAGTACAAGAAGCATACCATGAGAAACAAATACACATGAAAGGCCGACCTAATAGGCAATGTTCAAATTCCACAAATTTGCGAAAAATATATATCAATTGAACAATTGAAAAAAACATATGTGGCTCTTTCACCAATGTACTTAATTTGATAACATGTCCTAAAAAATAACTGGTTAATAATCTTTGTTTTATCACTTGTACTAGCCTCGACTGTCAATACATCCATATTATATTGTGTGTGTATTTACAGACAAGCCCAGTACCGGTGGTTTTATGTTAAAATACCTCAAACTAGCAACAGTAAGCTTTCCAGCTCCACTTTGGCAGACCCCTTCACATACAGCTGCCAAATTTCCAAGACTTTCAAGATCAGCAAGTTGAAATGGGTAAACCGGAATACACCAAGGCAGCCTTGGTCCACATATAAACTAGACATACATCACTCAACACAGCATGCAAGTAGTTATACTTATCTATTGCAGTCAAGTATTCAAAAATACCTAAAAACACATCTAACAAATCAATAAGAATGTATTTAAGTTATTTTCAGATGTCACAATTTTTCCAAACTTTTCTGTTCGGCTTTAACAGAATAAAGTCTGGGAAATTATTTTGATAGCATCATTAAGCCTAATAGTTTGATAAATTCAGCTATACATTTCATCCTATCTTATTTTTTTTAAAGTTTTTATCAATTTTATGACAACATTAACAATGACAAACTCTCGTTAACAACACATCTTAAAAACAAATTCTGAAATTGTCCCATTAAAAAATCTTACAGTTCACTAAATTCGTCAACATGCAGGTATACTTTACTCATTCACCCCTGAAGACACATTTGAACTCTTCCAATTAAAACATTGGAATAGTTGATTATGAAATTTCAGGGGTGAATGATTTAATTTGAGTTGTGTTTTCTCTTTACGAACCTATCAAACCCTACTATAATTACACTTGTATAAGTGAGGTGATGTTATTCTTTTGATTGAAAACCTTGTATGAAGGGTTGCATCATGCAAAAAGAAAGCTGGGGTCCACTTTAATTTTACATTACCATACTATATAATGTTAGCCGGGCTTAATTTGTTATGTATCGGTTTAAATTTACAATAGGGTGTGCCAGTTTCCGGAACACAACATGCTCAAGAGACCGGCGATCTGTGTTGTTTCGAATTCTAAACAAGAAGATAATGTTTATCAATTTACTGCCAAGTCTAACAAGTTTGATTACTGATTTACAATTCAAGTATGACAACAAAACGACTATATAATGATTGAATGATTGAGGATCATTTTTGTGTGTTGTGAGTAAAATCACTGACTAGGATACTATGTAGGTCTAGCCAGCTACACACCCAACATAGTTCTGCTCTAACTCTACATCAGTCATCAGAATTATCTTCACCGTAATTTGAGAGAAGAATCCATGATGAATCTTTAATATAATCACAAATAGGTCAGGCTGGCTACCAGCCTTGAAGCTTTTGTCAACAGCTTTCTAACTACATTTTTTCTACTAGGTTATCTCCCCCTAGTTTGAAACTTAAGATCAGACATTCAAATGATAAGAATTACAAGTCTGTTTTTTTCTGAATAACTTGATATGCTAGGGACTGGCACCTCTCCACCATGGGTACTCATCTCTCGTGGTTTACTTAAGAGAATTCTAGTCCTTGCAAATAAGTCTATAAGAAGTATTCAGGAAAACTAAGCGGTTCTATTTACTTATTGACAAATCATACAGATATTTATTAGCCTACAACGGCCAAGTAAATAAATAGAGTAAAGAAATCCATAATGTATTTTTAACAGCTGAATTATTGTCATTTTTTCTTTGAAAAAATCACTCGGCTTCATCATGTATATTTCTATGAAATAGAGGCAAAGGGCATGCAATGTGTTACAGATTATAGATAAATCTTTTACAATATTGAGACAAGAGGCATGCATAGTCCTGAGCACAAGGCCGGGCTTATTTCTGAGGACATTTTCAAAATGACAGAAAGAAGGAAAAGGACAATTAACCACTTACAACAATGTCCGTTAATGCTAGTGGTATAGGCAGCATTGGCCAGCATTTAATTTGGTTAATGAAAAACTTCTCTCTTGGAAAATTTCTCTTAGACGGAAATTCCGCAATATACATATCCTAATGCTATTGTATGAATCCCAAAAATATGTACGGAACAGATTTTCAGAAACAAAATTATTTGCGATTATCAAGGTTCCATTGCATATATGTATTAAACAACATTTTACATATCATAAAGAATACAATTCTTTTAGGTTATAAACCTCCTTATTCTTTACTGATACAGCCAGTTTCAGCTGTAATTTGTTTTTACATCATTTATCATTTTGTGTCAAAATTCTACACATAAAAACAAGTCACCTCCAATATACTCTTTACACATTGAAGAGTTTGCCTGTGTGGAATTCTTCAATTGACACTTTTCACAACATTTAATATATCAAAGCGATCTTAATCATCTATCAAATATTAATCTTCCAGTAAAATAAATATATAAAGATCTATTAAAAGTTTAAAATATTTATCTGATAATTATTTCTCTCTAAAAGTTGGCTTTAATGTAAAAAGATATTGTTTTTAATAACTACAACTAAAGAGATGTCATAATAAGGTCACACACATCAAAATAACAACAACATTTTATTTGGTATTTAACATAAAAATACTACACTAAATTTTGTTATTTTTATTTTTATATATATATATATATCAGTGTCATGTTGCTCAAAATTTAAGACAAGATGATAAGTATTGTTTTCTTCAGCAGAAGGTATTGATAATCTGTTTGATAGTAGCTATGCCTCTTTATTGGTTCTAATACAATGATGAGGGGGAAAAGAATTGAAAATCAAAATAATCAGCTGCAAACTTTAGATATGAGAACAACTTGTACATGTTAATGTCATTTTCAGAAAATTCTCATTTTTAGGTTAAACAGGTAATCACATTACAGAATGAGTGCGTAGAATGTATCCAACTTTAAAGTTTTACGATATGAAGCATTTTTCTGTTGCCCTTATGATATTAGAGCTATCTTACAAGTCCAAACCAGAACAGAGTTGGCAAACTGTTGGCCAACATTGTGTAATACAGTGTACATGTATATCTGAACAGAAATATTTTTCAATCAAATTCATATGCAAAAATGTACAAAAACAAAAACAATTACACATATTAAACTCATTCACCCTGAAAATTCATATCAAACTTTTCCAACCTTTGAATTGGATGAGTTCAAATGTGTCTTCAGGGGTGAATGAGTTAATGCTATTCTGCCCTGGTGTTATCAACTATCTTTCAAGAAATTTCATAACAAATTGCCAGTAAACATCTTAATACCTGATAAGCTTCAACCCTTTCACTATTGTAGACCATAATGGGCTCACCCAGATCAATGCATGGAAGAGTTAACTAAAGTTACATAGGGGTGAATGGGTTTAAAGAATAATGTACATTAAATGTCAAGATTATTCGTGTCAAAGACAATATTCTAGATGTGTTATCACTGACCATACCTACAACCCTTACTGACCTAACACTATTGGTTTATCTCTCACAGATGGTGACATGGTAAGTTATGATACATTCCTGTGAGATAAGCTTAATGAAGAGGTCAGATTTGTACCATACTAAAGCCATATTTAACACAGCAATAGAGTTTGGTCCCAGCTTTCAACATAAATTACATGAATTATTCACAAGTTTTAGCAAAAAATAGCCAAAACATTACCCCAAATAAATTGTTTGAGAACCATGTCTACATAGAATCATCAAGAACTATAAACATATGTACATCAAACCATGTTTATTAGTCTACGACAGCCTGTAATTTGTTCACAAATCTACAACTTCAAATAGCATAATGGTCATTTCAGCAATACCATATCTATTTTATATGTAAACCAAATCGGTTGTGACATTCTTAACACCTATTGGTATATACCAAGTTTCATTCCATGTCTATTCATTCCATGTCTAACTTAAGGTAAATTATGCTACCTTATAATTACTCATTGTTTCTGCAAATTGTACTTGAGTTATCCCCCTTTTTTTAAATCATTAAACATACATTCTTGTGTTCCATTCAGATGTGTCATCGATTCTTGTGTACCTTTCATGTGAGTTGTCAATTTTAGTGTAACCTCCAAATGCGTCCTTTATTTATTCATCAAGTCTCAATTACAAACCCTAAAAGTTTAAACTTACTAAGTTTGTTTGTGCGAACTATTTTGGAAAAAAATACACATCTCAGTAAGCTAGTATACCCTTCAAGGTAAAATAAAAATATTTTGTATACATTAAAACTGAAAACATTGCATGCCCTGTAATTTAAAGTGAGGTTAATTGGACAAAATACACAAAAACACAAGGACATTTAAAAAACCCACCATATATTAAGAAATTTAATACTATGCGTCTTTTAAGATATTAAACCTAGCTACACTATATTTTTCTACACTAACAATGACAGTTGATAATGTCCAGCATTCTTACTCCCATAGTTAAATAAAAGCAGCCATATCTTCTCATAGATCCTAGTTTCATAAATGTTATTTAGCTTACCTTATGAGGAAATTAAATTTCAGGAAATGACATTCATGAACAAGTTGAAGTTAAATCTCACTTCTTTGGAGAGAGATTTCTGACTGTTCTGTTAACATAATCACTACTTATTACTTCATGGTCAACTTCAATAAATTCTGTAGATAAAACACCTCAAATTATGGTATTTTCCAATGAAGTTTTGTCAAAAAGTGTTCATTGCCATTAATTTTCAGGGAATGAAAGATTACACTATTAGGTTTTGACATGATTTCTCCCTATGGAAAATTTGGCAAATGGTTGGCAAGTATGGGAAGTTGAAAGGATTTTTTCCATCAGGAAAATAGATATAAAAGACGTCAGCAATATTTTCAGGGAATGAAATATTTTGAACATTTAGCTAAATGCATTGCTGAAGTGAGTTATCTTGCACATTAAGATCCTGCTAAAAATCTTACTGATATAGCTTGGTATGCTTTGTAACTCAAAGCAGATAAAAGATACGACATGTTAAATTTTTTGACAAATAGGAAAGGTGATATCACTTTTACAACCAGCAATGCTTTCTAGCTCGAAGCAGATTCAAATATATCACGAGACATTTTACCAACAGAAATCACAATTTCACAAAGACACATTTTCAAATGTTCGTGCTTCAAATTATACTGAACAGATGTTTTCCTTAGTATCACTGTTGCTTCTTTGTTTTTTACTCATTCACCCCTGAAATTTCATAATGAACTATTCCAACCTTTGAATGGAAGAGTTTAAATGTGTCTGCAGGGGTGAATGAGTTCAGCTGTTATTGCCCGACCAGTCGGGACTGCTATTTATAAAGCGACTGGCCGAACTTTACCATTAGATCATTTTTACTTCCAGAAATGATGATAACACAACAGTATATGTTCAGGATTGAAATTTTGTACTAAACAGTGCTTAAAGTTGTTATTTTTCAGCATTTCTGTTGCTTCTTTGTTTCCAGCTGTTGTTGACTCCTGAGGCAAGTGCTCACATCTTTTTAGCCTTGCGTGCCCTCACATTTCCGTTCTCTGTTGCTGTGTTCTGGTCAACTTCAGGCAAGGAATTGATGTCCTCTTCTGCAACTGTCAACAATATTGTCATAATGAGATTTATTTCACTGCAGATAACAAAACACAGCATACAATGTACATATTGTTAATAAATTGATACTAACTAGGGGCATTTGTTTACTTTCATGTTTCATATTTTATCTTGAAACACAGAAATACATCAAAATCACAAAAATGCAGGACAAGCCCATACAGGCACTTTGATTTTACCATGAAAAATCACAGGATATGAAGAAGAAATCTTTTTCGTTCTCTTACTCAAAGTATGCATGGAGAACATTCGCAATTATTTTGATAGTATTTTTAGTATAACATGTATCAAATTGCTCTTTTTAAATCAAAAATCCATTTTTTTCCTCATTCACCATGAGGGGGGGGCGGGGGGACCCCATGCTAGGTCTCTATTAAACAAAAAGATTTGTTTTTCTTGATATTTCTGTTGACCACCCAACATGTGAAATTACTATTTTTCCAGCTATCCGACTGATTGAACAGATTTTATTACTTACCCTTATTCCTTTTCTTATTTGGTGACTTAAGTTTTCGGGTGGCAGCACTTTTTTCCCTTCTCCTCCTAAGGTGGAAGTTGATAAAGTTCCACATCATCCAAGCCTGTAGCAGACACACTGCGGCAAGACAGTTGATTCTACGAATACAGAAACACAACTTTTAACAGAAATGTATACTACAGAACAAAAGCTGTTAAAAATATATATATATTCATTCTAGGGTTGGGTTTGTGTGCTATTTACATCCATTAACAGCTATGGTGATTGAAGGACAAGCCAGGTTTTGATGGTGGAGGAATACCAGAATACCCAGAGAAATACCACCAATCTGTGGCCAGTATGTAGCAGCTGCCCCACATAGCATCAAACCTGCCACCTAGTGGTGGAGAGCTAGTGATCATATACACATGTCTAACGGCCTCAAACCTGACGCCCAGTGGTAGAAAGCTAGCTGTGATCATATACACATGCCTAACGGCCTCAAACCTGACACCTAGTGGTGGAGAGCTAGTGATCATATACACATGTCTAACGGCATCAAACCTGACACCCAGTGGTGGAGTGCTAGTGATCATATACACATGCCTAACGGCCTCAAACCTGACACCTATTGGTTGAAAGCTAGCTGTGATCATATACACATGTCTAACGGCCTCAAACCTGACACCTAGTGGTGGAGAGCTAGTGATCATATACACTTGCCTAACGGCCTCAAACCTGACACCTAGTGGTGGAAAGCTAGCTGTGATCATATACACATGCCTAACGGCCTCAAACCTGACACCTATTGGTTCAAAGCTAGCTGTGATCATATACACATGTCTAACGGCATCAAACCTGACACCTAGTGGTGGAAAAGTAGCTGTGATCATATACACATGTCTAACGGCATCAAACCTGCCACCCAGTGGTGGAGAGCTAGTGATCATATACACATGCCTAACGGCCTCAAACCTGACACCTATTGGTGGAAAGCTAGCTGTGATCATATACACATGTCTAACGGCATCAAACCTGAAACCTAGTGGTGGAGAGCTAGTGATCATATACACATGCCTAACGGCATCAAACCTGACACCCAGTGGTGGAGAGCTAGTGATCATATACACATGTCTAACGGCATCAAACCTGACACCCAGTGGTGGAGAGCTAGTGATCACAGATAGTATGACACCTTAACTGCTGGACTACTGCATCACCTTCCCCATCATAGGACTAATATTATCAGAGAAATTAAACACAAATGTCACATGACAGTGTACTACTCTTCAAGATGTATCTTTGAACTTTGCATGCTATATATAGAACTTCTATTACATCACACAATAAATTGGGAGAAGAGCCAATCCCTGTCCACTGTAGGTAGGGTGTTTTATATAGTGTACTTGCTTTGTTTTGACATCAGAGAAACACAAAGTCTAACACAAATGTTGTTCATATGTATGGACGCACAGACAGATCGAGGGAAAAGTGCTCAATACGCCTCCAATATCATGGTGGGGACCTAAAATGTTTGTTGTGTGGCGACATTAGTGTCCAGAATAACTTGAGTATACTAAGAAAGTACTTATCAAAATGGACAAAAATTTCAGCGTATTATTAAATTTTAACAGATAAGCTCATGGACATATTAGCACACTAACAGTATATGCAGTAAGAAAACTATATAAACAAACTTCAAGTTAGTTTAGTTTTTGAGGTGTGAAAAAAACGCAAAACTTTCAACACTACTAAAACATGTATGTTTACAGAGCATGAAAGCTAAAATCAATGTCGGTGGATAACTTACCTCACCCACTGAGCATTAAAATTTCCTGTGGCAAAGTCCACAGCTGTTTGGCTGTTCTGGTCTAGGCCGTACCTGAGGAGGAAGCAGTTAAATAGTACATCTGAGCTTCATCAATAAATATCTTCATGAAGGAATGATAAAAACAACAGAAGAAAAATTAAACTTTAATAAATATCATCTGAACAACTTATTTGCTTGTTGGAAAATTTCAATTTATTAATCTAAGGAAATTTTTTGATCCTTGGAAATAGGAGGAAAAAATAAGTCTGGGATGGAACTTGAGCTTACTTTTATCTGTAACAGTGATTCTAATACACTTGGTTAATGATATTACTGTACATCGTTATATCAGCTAGGATGATTGTTCCAGTCTGACCAATCATCAATTCTCCAGGGGTTACACTCACTTACGCTCTCTGCATCCCTAGAAAATGACAGAGCAACATTCAAGGCACATGGCTAGCTATTTGATTGGTCTCGGGCAAAATAAACGGACCAATCGCCAGGATAGTACAATCACCATGATAGTACCTGACTTTTGAAGATTAAAGAGGCATGACACCAGACTTCAAAGCTAGTCAATTTCACCGTTAAACAACAGAGATTATTTTCATGGACATAAAATAACCAAACCAGACTTCTTGTATCATCCACCACGACATATTCCAGGGGTGCATGCAGAGAACGAAAGCGTAACATCTGGAGTATCGAGGATGATTCTGACCATAATCTGATGGTGGAGAATGGATACTTACCAGAAGGTCAGAACAGCCAGGATGATGGTCCCAAGTCTCACCAGCACAAACATCCCATTAAAAACCATGAATCTAAAAAAATGAAATTTACAAATTCAGACATTCACATACACATTTAAAATTTAAAACATACGGTACTAAAATATTACATTTATGACAAAGAAAGAATTTTTTATCCTTATTTGATCATACAACCTTAACTCATTTATCCCTGAAGACACATTTGAACTCTTCCAATTCAAAGGTTGTGATAGTTCGACATGACATTTCAGGGGTGAATGATACTCCAACAATGTTGGAGGTTTTACACGGCGAAAAACTTTTGACAGGCGCCGCGTAACCTCTAACTGCCCATAGCTGATTTTCCCGATGCTGACTATCACATTTTCAAAGTTCGGATTAAGAAAGAGTATATCGTGTTTACATACATTTAAATGGTCAAAAGGGTCCAATAAATATTCCTTTCCATAAATCCATGATTATATGAGAAAAATTTCATGTCAAAGAAACAAATAATGAGTTTTTCCTCATTCGAAGCGATGCAGACAGCATTTGCCATGATTTTTCCGGTTAATACAAAAATGGATTACATGTAATGTTTTACAAGCGGAATACAAACAAACTCCGTATCATTTCGTTCCGTTTGAAATTCCCCCTGATATTTTGTATTAATCCAGAAGCCATGTTTTAAATGTAGGTCAGAGATGTGCTACAACGACATGGACATGTATTTTGAGTGTTCTATTCCGTAATATACTATATATTTGTGTCTGTGACATATATATGAGATCAATATTATATAAACCGTGAGTAGACATCGTTGTCATGAACTGTTAACCACTTATGTGAGTTTTTCAAGCCGATTTTGTTCCGCCCGGATTTCGGGCGGAAACTGCATCAAAGAATTAGTGCTTCGGAAATGAGGGGTCGCAGTCGGCAAAATCATATCCGATTGAAAAAAGGCCGACCAGCGGCCTCTCATGTTATGGGAGTAGGGTGAATGAGTTAAACTAGGTGATTCAAGAAAAGATGAAAAATGCAATTCAAGATATATAGTTTTAATAGTACATCTGTATATAGTAATAGTAAATGTATATTGTATACCGGGAAACCTTTGCCAACTCAAATATTCCCCATTTGCCCTGTGTAACTTTCACCCTTGACTAGTAATACATATTGTATGTTAGGTAGTAATATTAACAGTCATGATAGATTCACCCTCATTGGTGAGGGTAACAGTCATGATAGATTCACCCGCATTGGTGAGGGTAACAGTCATGACAGATTCACCCTCATTGGTGAGGGAAACAGTTATGATAGATTCACCCTCATTGGTGAGGTTAACAGTCAAGATAGATTCACCCTCATTGGTGAGGGGAACGGTCATGATAGATTCACCCTCATTGGTGAGGGGAACAGTCATGATAGATTCACCCTCAGTGGTGAGGGTAACGGTCATGATAGATTCACCCTCATTAGTGAGGGTAACAGTTATGATAGATTCAACCTCATTGGTGAGGGTAACAGTCAAGATAGATTCACCCTCATTGGTGAGGATAACAGTTATGATAGATTCACCCTCCTTGGTGAGGGTAACAGTTAAGATAGATACACCCTCATTGGTGAGGTTAACAGTCATGATAGATTCACCCCCATTGGTGAGGGTAACAGTCATGACAGATTCACCCTCATTGGTGAGGGGAACAGTTATGATAGATTCACCCTCATTGGTGAGGTTAACAGTCATGATAGATTCACCCGCATTGGTGAGGGTAACAGTCAAGATAGATTCACCTTCATTGGTGAGGGTAACAGTTATGATAGATTCCCCCTCATTGGTGAGGGTAACAGTTATGATAGATTCCCCCTCATTGGTGATGATAACAGTCAAGATAGATTCACCCTCATTGGTGAGGTTAACAGTCATGATAGATTCACCCGCATTGGTGAGGGTAACAGTCAAGATAGATTCACCTTCATTGGTGAGGGTAACAGTTATGATAGATGCACCCTCATTGGTGAGAGTAACAGTCATGATAGATTCACCCGCATTGGTGAGGGTAACAGTCAAGATCGATTCACCCTCATTGGTGAGGGTTACCGTTATGATAGATTTAACCTCATTGGTGCGGGTAACAGTCATGATAGATTCCCCCTCATTGGTGATGATAACAGTCAAGATAGATTCACCCTCATTGGTGAGGGTATCAGTCATGATAGATTCACCCTCAGTGGTGAGGGTAACGGTCATGATAGATTCACCCTCATTGGTGAGGGAAACAGTTATGATAGATTCACCCTCCTTGGTGAGGGAAACAGTTATGATAGATTCACCCTCATTGGTGAGGGCAACAGTCATGATAGATTCACCCTCATTAGTGAGGGTAACAGTTATGATAGATTCCCCCCCATTGGTGAGGGTAACAGTCATGACAGATTCACCCTCATTGGTGAGGGGAACGGTCATGATAGATTCACCCTCATTGGTGAGGGGAACAGTTATGATAGATTCACCCTCATTGGTGAGGGAAACAGTCATGATAGATTCACCCTCATTGGTGAGGGCAAAAAAAGTACATGTTCCTATAGTTTTCAGCAAAAGCATGTTGTATTTTTTACTCCCAATGGATGAAATTTCAATATAATTTTGGCAACTGCACAATATTAACATCATTTTGTTTTCTTATGACTGTATTTCCAATAGGGGAATCTACTGTGCCATTTATTCATGTTGGACCTGTGAAGAAATGGATTCGGCAAGACTAGTTTTACATGTAAGTATCTGTGTGTGTTAAAGACAAGGAAATCTTTAACAGATAAAAAGGAGACGATTCTGTGAATGGCTCAAGAATTAATGTTTCCTGCTAAACAGCTATTGTAGTATTCCCATCCTCGTGAACATTTGTATTATGACCAGGAAATTTAAAAGTGTGTTGTTAATTATTTCATTGTTCACTACACTTACCCTGTGTTGGCTAATTCACTCTTCTCAGCAAAATAGAGAAGTCTGGCTAAATGGAAGACGAATTCCACCAAATAATGTAGAACCATCATGCACAGGGCGACTCGGTTAAAACTTTAATAAAAAATAACAAAATACTATTACATAAATCATGTTGTACAAAAAAATAAAGGCAAAGTTGGATAGTGATGTCCTGGAAAGACTGTGTTTAGGTGAAGGTAAAATCTCAACAAAAGAATTAAAAAAAAAAATAATTATATAATGCACTAGCTTTGGACAAAAATGTATCCCCTTCACTGCAGGATTCCTAAAGGCCTATATACAGATATGTTCAAACCACAAGTCGTGACATTAAATATATATTTGTACCTCCATAATTCTTCCAAGAACTTAATGAAGCATCAACTATCTGATATCCGGATTGCTCTAGTTTATAACATGCAGTAAAGCTCCGTTTACTTAAATGATGGATAACACACAGACAAGGTTGCCGGAATTTAATTTAACATCTTTGATCCTAGTTTTAAATCATTTATTGTTTTATGAAATATTATTTATATTTAAGGCAAAAGATACCGCCATATTTACTTACTTGAGTACATAGGCCCCGACAATAAATACAAGATAAAGGGTGGCATACTGTATACGAGATGAGATTTCTTCCTGCAATAAACATATTTACAAATAATTAACAAAATGAATAGCAACCAAATATTAGAAAAACATAATAATATATCATAAGTAAGCAATAACACAAAACATCCTTTATTGTTAAAGATTTTCTTTCGATTCTGAAGTTACAAACACTGAAACATCTTGTGCGGATCAGGATCAGACAATGATCACAAATCAGGAAATATCAACTTTTTTTAAAATGCAAAAGAGGTTTTCTGAATACAGTATAAGCAATGGGGTCACCAGGGATATACAATTTCGTACGCAAATTACTAATCCTCAAGCAGATTTTGAAAAATTCTACTAGCTCCACAGATATTTATATAATATATATTCAACATTTTTACTAGCCCCGACATATAAAAGATCTCATTCTCTGTCCACTGAGAGTGTCACTGAGACATATCCTGAGAGATTATATGGGTCAGGGGTGTACAATACCACTAGCTGTATGCCCTGGGCATATAGTTCTTTATAAACTTCACATACACATTTTTAAAATTCTATAATATTTCTTACCTTCTTGATTTTTTGGAAGTACAACTCTGGAAAGCAGTGGATCCAGTAGGCTATTTGTAGTATGAAGAAGAATTTCACCACAAACCTGCATCAAGGGAAACAATTCATTACCATTACAAACAAGGGAAACAATCCATTAGCATTACAAACAAGGGAAACAATCCATTACCATTACAAACAAGGGAAACAATCCATTAACATTATTAACAAGGGAAACAATTCATTACCATTAAAAACAAGGGAAACAAGTATTTACCATTACAAACAAGGAAACCATTCTTTACCATTACAAACAAGGGAAACAATTCATTACCATAACAAACAAGGGAAACTCTTTCTAATGTTAGTTTCAACTAATTAAATGCCATCAAATACCAAAAAAAATTCACAAGATCTACTTGATTTTTTTTAAAAGTTGAATTTGGATCAACGTTTTTCCTCAAACATTTGTTTATATTTAAAAAACATCAAAATATTTTAGGAGACTTACGTTAATTCGGCATGAGGATAGCCCTCCCATAACTGGTTGATATTGATGTAGCTTTCCTGCAAGAACAACAATAAATTCACTGAAAAACATGGTGTATTATTCCAATACTTACAGACATACATATGTATAAGTCAAATACAAATCTTAACTTAAATTCTTGATAACATTAGTTTTGTTTTCCTTACAAAACTTAACACCCAAATAACTTTAAAAAAATAATTGACACGAGGTAACTTCAGCAGGCTTTAACATAAAATTTCCAACGTTTACAACAAAAGAATGGTTTCATCACAAGCACTAATTAACAGATTTTACAATTATGCAAGACAGAAAATTCAAGAACAGCATGTCGTTGCTGTTCTTTGGAAATCTGTAGTGCTTTTCTTACCCTGACGATGATGTCCGCACCCCAGACAGCCGATGCAAAGTAAAATGCTAGCAGCTGACCCGACTCGTTGAACTTGCTGTGTTTCACCTTTGACAGATGCATCTTCCTGTTCAGTTTCTACAACAACAAAAAAGGGGAAAATACTATTTCTGGTTGATCAGTTATGATACAAGCTTTTTAACAACAATTTTTGTACATTATGAAAATACATAATTTGAAAAGAGAAGGATATATTTAAATCTTAAAAGGATAGATATTTATAATGCAGCCAAGTGTCGTGTAACTTCTGAGTTGGTAAATACAAACTCAACATCCAACTGGAATTTATTTTATCCAGCATGCTTAAAACAATTTTTGTTTCTTTTGAAAACAATAATGAATCTTTTCCATCAATAACAGGAAGATAAATTATATGTTAGTGTTATTTATTTTATATTTTGAAAAACATGAGAGACGAGTTCTAGGTAGTTTAACTGTTTGAAATGACTTACATCTAGGACATACTCCTGGATAACAGCGTGTACTACTACACAGATGAGAAGATAGAACATGGTGGAGAAGATATCCTTACGTCCATAGGTATACAACCCAACATCATCAGCAGAATCTGTAGAAGAGAACCAAATCATATGATGACATGCAATTTTATTTGCAAACGTAGTTTGATTGTAGAGACATTTTTTCACTTCTATATCTTTTTGGTACAAGTAGGTTATCAGTGTTTTTGTTAAACCTGTTCTAAATCTTAATTTCAACCTCTGACTGTACATACCTGTGCCATTCCTTGTAACATTGTGCTGAAGAGCTACAAACAGTGTGGCTACTGGTGCTGTGGCCTAAATAAATAAAAAAGAAACTACATAAATACATTATATAAGTAGGAAGCTTAAGACTACATATGACAAAACCAAGGTATTGAAGAATTCCTTTTTTTTAATTTAATATATTTTATGAAATGCACATTTTGGTGTATTGGCAACTGAAGGATAAATTCATGATCATCATATTCTGTTGTAATATTAACATGATTTCCATTGTACAGCGTGACACTCCCGGGATCCCGAGTGCATGTCTAACAAGTCTGTACTAGTCTGCAAATATCCCTTTTAATTTCCTGAAGGATGCAAAATTTCAGTCAATTAATTTGTTTAACATGTATGATGAACTGAACCATACAATATAAGACCCAAAAAATATGTATGTTCCAGGTACCCTAACTGATCCTAGGTTTTACCTATTTTTTTACGCACACAATGCTATTTGGAGCATACAATTGGTCTGAATAACCATATTTGAAGATTTTTGTAATATCTTGATTTAACACCTACCCCAATCCCTACCAATCTACCCCTTTTTCATAACATCATATTAGCACGTACTGACTTAAATCTAAAAACATATGCATTAAAATCCTTAAACGTTGTTGTCACCTCAACTTTCTCCTTTTTCATGCATTCCAATAACGATGCAATTTTTACAATTCTGAATAAAATGTGAGTGATGGATATTACAAAATGAAAACTTATGAAAAATAAATCCTTATTAATCTTTGGGCATTAATAGCAGTAAGCTTCATGTTCAGTGACAGAACAGTGTTAATTTTATAAATTTATGCACTTGTATGAAGAAATACAATCCTTGCCTGAATAATTTCATATTTTGGTGAAGATATACATTTTTGTAGCAATGTCGGTTATTATATTAGATCATCAGCTGCTGACTCAGCTTCTATCCATATGGTAAAAAATAATCCTATCATTTGTTATATTTAAATAATAAAAAGCATCAATTTAAGAATTTATCATCTAGAAATAACAAAGGTAATTTGGTGTGATAACCTAATAAGATAATCAACCAACGCTAAATCAAATTATATTCGTAAGCTTTGAAACTTGGGCAATCTGATGCCATATTAGCTATTGGTAGCGATAGTTGTCGAAACTGTCTGATAATTACACGATTTCTTCGATTTAACACTCATAAAAATCACTTAAAGCCAAGAATACAGGCTAATCAATAAATTTAATTAAATCCCTTTAAATGTTGAAAAGTTTTATTATAATTACAACAGTGCCACGTCACATTTCCAGAAAGTGGAAAACAATGAACAGCAAATAATTATCATGATGACGTACCGCAATATGGTCACTGCTCAGACCTATTTACATAAATTCATACATTGTAAGTGACATTTCAATAAAATCACATGATATTGAACAAATAACTGTCTGACATATGGGTAGACAAAATATTGGCTCGACGCCAACCGGCTCCTGTTATCACTTTCGTTTGTGTATTACGTACCTGAAACATGAGACCGACAACGAAAACCATTGCAATGCAAGACACAATATCCGCATGGTTCTGTATAAAGAACTCGTGACTAAAAATTGGTGGATTTTTCGTGCTTCTTCCTCGACGCATTCCCATCTTGATGCAGATAACAGCTGGAACTTCAACACTGACTTAAACTGTGCGGCGTGTCAAACGAAGTAGGAAGTAGTAATTAATTTCCCACAATGCACCAGCGTGCCAAAGGCTCCGATAAGACAGCTCATAAGACAGCTCATCTGATTGGATAAAATCAATACTGTCTGCTTCAGGGTGTTTTTGCCGACAGCATCAATCAAAATTGATGAGATAAGATGGTTTCTTTTTCAAAAAAAGCTTACCATTTAAACTAGGGACATTAGTTATATGAATCATAGTAAGCAGTGCGAGGATTTGAAAATTTTGTTCAACTCAGTTTGAATAATGTCACTGATAGTCTACATTTGTTAAAATTACGTAACTTTGCAAATGTCTGTATTTATTTTCAACATGTTAAGTCACGGAATTAGATTAGATTAGGTTATCGAAGTCCGTGGTTAAGTCAACAAAATAAACATTGGGATCCAATATTTTACTTCAGTTGTCGTAGATCTAAGTTAACTTGAACTAAAAAAGAAGAAGCAGCATTTTCAGTCTTTTATGTACTGAGGGTCAATTTTGAGGACATTAGCAGTTCACTTGACTTGAAGAAATATTATTCACACGAAAACTTGGAGTGGAAAACACAATTATAAATTGGGAGGGTGGAAAGAAAAAACATGACCTCACGTCTTTCATATTGCGAACTTTTAGAAAAGCGAATTACTATATATAGACTACTTAATTATTTATGTCAGAAATCATCACGACTAATAACTGCTTTACTTGATGGCATATACACCTTTTAGCCGTTCATTGTCTTTCTTATTGCTGTAATTGAACCCTGCCACACTACTCCCCTTTTTTCAAATGTGTTCGCCCTCGAACACCACAACCCAGGTTCTAACTCCCTGTCACTACAGAGAGAGCCAGGGACACCATTTGTTACAAGAAAGAGAATAGTGTGGCATCCACCGGGGATCGAACCCTCGCCGATCTCCAGGTTCCTAGAGTCGGACACTCTACCACTGAGCTAAAGGGAATTCCCTCTAGCTCGAAGCCAGAAGGGGCCTTAATCCTATGTACAATTNAATACTGTGGAATTACGCATTCAATGCGTAATTTGTAGGTAAGGGTGGTTCGACTCGTATGATACCGCGACAAGTTTGACCCAGACAACACAATTATGGAAAGTCGTATCAGTGGCGGGAAAAACATGCTTTACAACGTCATAATAGAGGAGAAAACCTCAGTACATACTACTTCAGGTCAGTTGCCTGTCAAAACTTGCCCCAAGGCGGGGCACGTTCGGCTATCCATAAATATTAAATGTGCCGAACTTGGCATGGTCCCTTCTGCTCTAACGACATCCACCTACTCACTTTACCACTACAGCGGCTACATCAGGTTATCTCTTCCTTCTACATGTATGAACGGAGGCTACCTCAGGTCACCTCTCCCCTCTATGTACGAAGGCTACATCAGGTCACCTCTCCCCTCTCTGTACGGTGGCTACATTAGGTCACCTCTCCCTTCTCTGTACGGAGGCTACATCACCTCCCCCCTCTCTGTACGGAGGCTACATTAGGTCACCTCTCCCCTCTATGTACGGAGGCTACATTAGGTCACTTCTCCCCTCTCTGTACGCTGGCTACATTAGGTCACCTCTCCCCTCTCTGTACGGCGGCTACATCAGGTCACATCTCCCCTCTCTGTACGGAGGCTACATTAGGTCACCTCTCCCATCTATGTACGGTGGCTACATTAGGTCACCTCTCCCTTCTCTGTACGGAGGCTACATCAGGTCACCTCTCCCCTCTCTGAACGGAGGCTACATTAGGTCACCTCTCCCCTCTATGAACGGCGGCTACCTCAGGTCACCTCTCCCCTCTATGGACGAAGGCTACATCAGGTCTCCTCTCCCCTCTATGTACGGTGGCTAGATTAGGTCACCTCTCCCCTCTATGTACGGAGGCTACATTAGGTCACTTCTCCCCTCTCTGTACGCTGGCTACATTAGGTCACCTCTCCCCTCTATATACGGTGGCTAGATTAGGTCACCTTTCCCCTCTATGTACGGTGGCTACATCAGGTGACCTCTCCCCTCTATGTACGAAGGATACATCAGGTGACCTCTCCCCTCTATGTACGAAGGCTACATCAGGTCACCTCTCCCCTCTCTGTACGGCGGCTACATCAGGTCACATCTCCCCTCTATGTACGAAGGCTACATCAGGTGACCTCTCCCATCTATGTACGAAGGCTACATCAGGTGACCTCTCCCATCTATGTACGAAGGCTACATCAGGTGACCTCTCCCATCTATGTACGAAGGCTACATCAGGTGACCTCTCCCATCTATGTACGAAGGCTACATCAGGTCAACTCTCCCCTCTATGTACGGTGGCTACATCAGGTCACCTCTCCCCTCTCTGAACGGAGGCTACATTAGGTCACCTCTCCGCTCTATGTACGGTGGCTACATTAGGTCACCTTTCCCCTCTCTGTACGAAGGCTACATCAGGTCACTTCTCCCCTCTCTGTACGGTGGCTACATTAGGTCACCTCTCCCCTCTATGTACGGTGGCTAGATTAGGTCACCTTTCCCTTCTATGTACGGTGGCTACATTAGATCACCTCTCCCTTCTATTTACGAAGGCTACATCAGGTCACCTCTCCCCTCTATGTACG